TCTTAAACTCAATAAAACTAGATTTTGAATATAATAAATTTAATATTATGTAGCAAAAACTTTAAGTTCTTTAATATTAACAGACTTTCTTAAATTAAAAGAAACAGTTTAATTATTCAAACAATAACCCAGTAAGTTTCATTACTGTGCCAAAAAACCCAACTCTCTCTTCCTTATGTTCTAAGTGCTTTATTTTTTGATCAAGAATTAACTTCTTCCATTTTGTCTCATCAGTAAATCCAATGATAACATCAATGTCATTGTAAAGTAATTCTAATTGACCTCCTCCTTTAATCACATTAATTTGAAGTTCTTCTAAATATAATATAATTCTAGTTTGAGTAACACTTTCAATAAAACAAGAATCTGTTAATAATACAAAATTCCCGTCTAATGCTTTATCATCCAACCACCATTTAACTTTTTCAAAAGCTATAAACTGTTTTTCAGGTAAATTAAATTCAGTTTGATATTTGAGGGTCATTTCATTACGATAATTTTTATCATGAATTTTTTGTTCCTCATCAACTACAGCTCTATTACATTCATTTGTTTTTGTTGTTATTATTTGAATTGCTTCATGACATTCTTGGAGTATTATTTCTCTTTCATTTTGCAATAATTCTACACAAACATTGCTTCTTGTTCTATTAATTAAACTTGGTGCTGAAGACTCTCTACCTAACAACGGTTTTTCAGTTTGAGGAAATAAACCAACTTGACATGATTGATCCATTTTAATATTATTCACTTTTATTGGTGTTAATTCTTTAATTAAACATTCTTCTTTTTGATTAATTGAAGATTTCTCTTCTTTTTGGGTTGGTTGAGTGATTGAAAAGGATGAAAGTTGTTGACTTGAAATATTTCTTGATAACTTTTGACATGACAAAGATCCAGGAGATGCCCTTGATGGAATAGAGAATTTTGGTGCAATACAAATTGATACTCTTCTTTTATTGAAAAGTTTTGATGATTTTCTTTTTGAACTTTCTGTTAATTGTTCTGTGTTATCATTTTCTCTTACTTGATGATTAATTAATGTTATTAATTGTAATGGTGAAGAATTCATTTGAACTGATTGAATTAACTGAATTAAAAGCATTTGATATCTTGGAAGTCTTTGAACAGGAAGAATTAAATAAGAATCAAGACTTTGTAACTGAATACCATTCTTGTATTCAGTTTCTTGAATAGAACGAAGATAAAAATTTTGTTGTAAGTTATTAACAATTCTACCATATACCTCTTGCCTTTTAGTTGATGCTTTAAAATAATTTATATATACATTGAATTGATTTTCATTAGCTATAAAAACAGCACCAACATATTTTATTAACTCTCCTTTTTCTAAATAATCTTTGAATTCTCTTAATAATTGTTTATTAAATTCAATTATGTCTTGATAATACATAAACATTTTTCTTAGATCTTCACTGCCAATTATGTGTTTGTCATCTTTTTCTATTGGCTCTTTATATTTAAATAATCCTAATTCCATTTGAGAAATATACCTTGTCTCACTCTCAACTAATTCTTTAAGAATATTTTCTGTTCTTTTTGAGTCACTCATTCAACTTGAATTATTCAAACAATTAACTTTTTATTTTAAAAAACTTTTTTCTTTTTTTTTTAAAAAATAATTATTTCTAATATATATAACAATAATTGGTTGTATTTCACATTGATTTATATCGTTTTAAAACTACTACACCTTTCCTTACAGCAATGGCAATTATGAAATATTCAGGATTTAATTTAACATCAATAACCCTAGTAGTATCATCTGTTAACACATAGTTTTCCATATTTTGTTCTAAGTCAAGGTCTTCAAGAATCTCAGTACTTCCATCAGTTTTTTGAACCACTTTAACAAGAACATGTGTGGGTTTAATTCCATCTTTTTTTCTTTTTAAATGAAATTGGGTCTTATCAAACATTACTGCAGTACCGTCATCTCCACCAGAAAATACTAAATCATCCCTACCATCAACTGCATTACAACCTGAACGATGTAATTTTGCACGTTGAAAAGTTGCTTGTTTCTTTGATTTTGGTTGTGCTGTACGCCTACCGACAACACTTATATATCCAAAAGAATCAGAAACTATCATAGATGATTCACAATTACCATTCCAACAAATGTCAGTCATAAAAATATGAAGGGCTAATGAATTTAATAATTGATTTGTCAAGAATGAATACATTTTTACTATCGAAGGACCACGAGCACAACAAATAAATGAGTGCGGAACATCTTTTGAGCATATTACTTTAATTAATGGAGCGTTATGTGTTTTTAATACTGAAACTATTTGGAGTGAATGATTAATTATTAATATTCTACCATCAATACAACCAACTAAAAGTAATGGGTAAGTTGGATGTGCTGTTAAACACGTTGGTGAATCAGGTAATTCTATTGAATTAGAAGAAGGGTGGATAATTTTTGAAATTGGAACAGGATAAAAAAGGTGAAGAGAACGTGTAGTGATGAACGCTAATTGATATTTTTCATCTTCTTTGTTTTTATTAGTACAATTTAACACAATGAGATCTCTAATTGAAGTAGAAAAATCAAATATTGAAATTAATTTTGCTGGACTTAGTTGATGGTAAAATAATATATGTTCGATTTCATTTCCATTAGGCTTTTCAACACAAGTAATAAGTTTTAATGAACCTACCCATCGAATAAATGAAATTTTATTAGTGACATGAAAATATAATGATTTTCCAGGGGTTTTACATTGTGTAGTGATTTTAGGAAATTCGGATAAAACACGATATTGAGGTTCTTCCTCCATTCACCCCCAACTTCTCTTTTTAAATATTTGTTTTTTCTTTTTGTTTTTTTTTATTTCATTAAAAAACAAAATCATAAAAAATTTAAGAAAAAATTCAAAACTTCAATAAAAATATAGTTTTTTATTTAGTTGTTATTAATTTTTTTTTTGGCTTTTTCATCTATTAAAACCATTCAATTAATTAATGGCTGGAACAGGATATGATCGTCAACTTACAATCTTCTCACCTGAAGGAAGATTGTATCAAGTTGGTTTGTTATTTATTTCATTAAATATATTAACAATATTCATTAAGTAGAATATGCCTTAAAAGCAACTAAATGTGAAAGTTTAACAACAGTTGGTGTATGTAGTGGTGAGGCTGCATGTATTATAACACAAAAGAAATTACCAGTTTGTCATTAGTTATTTTATCATTTTGAAAATTTACAAAGAAATTAACACAACAAAGGATAGATTAGTTGATCCATCAACAGTCACTCATCTTCATCGTATTTCAAAACATGTTGGTTGTTGTATGTCAGGAATATATGCGGATGGTAAAGTTATTGCTCAAAGGTCACAATATTATGCAAGTAAGTTCCAATTAGATTATGGTTATGAAATGCCTGTGTCATTAGTGGCAAAGAAAACTGCTGACTTTGCTCAAATGTTAACACAACATGCATATATGAGACCTTTTGGTGTATCTTCAATGTTTATTGGATGGGATGAAGTTTCAGGACCTCAACTTTGGAGAAGTGATCCAGCAGGTTCTGTTGCTGCTTTTAGAGGATGTGCAGCTGGAGAGAAAGAACAAGAAGCATTTAATAACTTAGAAAAGAAAAAGATTACTAAAGAATTAACTGTTGACCAAGTTGTTTGTCAAGCACTAGATTGTTTGCAAACAGTTACATCATCAGAATTTAAAGCTACTGATATTGAGATTGCAATTGTAACTAAAGATAATAAACTATTCCATTTACTTTCACAACAAGAAATTGAGCACTATCTTGTTCTTGCATCAGAGAAGGATTAATTAAGTATAACATCCCTTTCTTTTGTTGTTTGTTTTTATTTTTAAAATAAAATGTTTTTCTATAAAACAAAAATCAAAAAGAACTTAAAAAAAAAAGAACAAGATAAATGAAAAAAATACAACAATTCCTTAAAGAGTGTGATATTTTTCTTAAGGTTCCTGAGAAGTTAAAAATAAAAACTAACACCACAAAATTATTTTCTATCATATCATATATTATTATTGGGCTATTAATATTTAGTGAAACTTATAATTTTTTTAACCCTCAATGGGTATCTCATGTTGATGTTGATACTGTAAAAGCAGGTGTATTACCAAATATGTATATCAATATTGATATGACATTTCCTAAAATGAACTGCGATGATTTTGGATTAGATGTTACGGAAATTACTGGAAGTCTACAATTAGGAGTAACAGATGGAATTAAATTTGATAATAGATTATTAGGAGGTTGTAGAATGCATGGAACAATGAAAGTAAGTAGAGTTAGTGGAGAGTTTCATGTAGCATTTGGTAAAATTTCATTTAGACAAGGAAGATTAAATCAATTTATTACTGCAACACAAAAACATACACAAGGTCACATTCATCAATTCACAATTCAAGAAATGAAAAGTTTTAATCCTACTCATTATATTAATCATTTATCATTTTCTAATATACTTGGTTCAACAGTTCATTCAGGTGAAACACCCTTAAATGGTAAAGAATTTACTTTAAATGGATTTGATAATGCTCGTAAAACATATTATATTAATGTTATTCCAACTTTATTCAAATATCCTTCTTATACTCTTCGAACATATCAACTATCTGTTAATGAAAGAGATGTTCCTGTTACTTATGGTGCTTCATTTGCTCAACCAGGAGTTTTCTTCAAATATGAATTATCTCCTTATATTGTAATCAATGAAATGAATGATCACTCATTTGCACATTCTCTTGCATCAGTTGGTGCAATCATTGGTGGTGTTTTGATTATAATGGGATTGTTGTCAAGGCTTTTTGATTCAAAACATGAATTAGTAACTTCTGTTGTGGAGATGGAATAAAGAGAATGAAATAATATTATTTCATATTTTATTTTATTTTGATTATAAGAATTTTATTATAAAATAATTATTTTTTTTTAATAAAAATAAAATCAAATACTTAATTGAACATTGTTTTAAATGAAAACCACTATTCCATCAGGAAAACAATGGATTTGTACCTTTCCTGGATGCACTGAATCATCACCAAAAACTCATTATAATTGTTATTCACATGTATGGGATGCACATTTACGACATATCATTTCATTTCAAACTATAGGATTTAAAAAGGCTCCATCTTATAAGAAATTACCTGATAGAAAAGCAGTTCGAAAATTATGTGAGAGTTATATGCAGAAGTTAAATAAAAGTCAAAGTTATGATTTTAATACTCCAAATCCTCTTACCAATTCAAATTGTCTTATGTTAGATACTAAAACACCTTTAAATAATTGTTTATTTGACAGCGAAGAACTTATTATTACAGATAAACAACTAACTACTCAAACTTTAAATATACAAAATGGTAGTTCATTTTCTCCTTTAGTTCAACAATTTGATTGGAACATTAATCAAAACTCTGAGTACAATACATTACCCTCTATTCCATTTATTCAAATAGAAATCCTTCAAAATGCTTTAAAACGATTACATGTTGCAGGAGAAATACTTGCAGAAAATGGTTTTCTTCAAAGGTCTGATAGTAAATTGAAAACGTCTATTGAACCATTAACTAATTCTCTTCAACAATTACTTAAACTTGTTGGTGTTCAATATAATTATAAAGAAGACAATACTGTTAAATATGGATTTATTGCGCAAGAAGTAAACAAAACTTGTCCTGAGCTTGCTCCAAATGGAACATCTCTTGATGTTGTTGGAATTCTTCCAATTATTATTGAATCATTAAAAGAAATTAATTTATATATTAATGACACTTCAGAAATTAAACAACAAATAACAATCATACTGGAGTACATTGACTCAATAAAAAAATGTATAGAAAACACTGAAGAAAAACAACAACCTATTACTCAATCTCATAAATTTCATTTCTCTGTTGGACCAGCTGTTCTTACTGCTCCGTTAGCTGTTGGAACAACTGCCATTTCTATATGGACTATTTTTGCACTTCCAAAATTACCTGGGATATGGGTATTATTATTCATTACTTCAGCATGTCTCTGGGTATCTTTTTGGAGAACTAGAAATGAAATACACAAAAATATCAAAAATGTTAAGTTATATTGGACAACAGATAACACTGCTTGTCTCTGGTGTTTATTGTTTTTGACATTACTTAGTGTTTCAGTTTCATTAGTGATGGGAGTTGTTGGAGTAATAATTTGTGTTTGTGGAATTATTGTAGTAGGGCTTGTCATTGGGATTGCTCGGTGGGCACCAAAAAAGTATGGATGTACACTAGAAATTGTACTAACAATATTAGTAGCATTTATGGTGTTATTCTTTTTAATTATTGGTGGAATGTTATTAGCGCAACCTGGGTTTGAATGTTATTTAAATGGTAATCACTCAGAGATGACTATTTTATTGAAACAAAATATTACAATGGAACAACTTGGTGTAAATAAATTGCCATGGAACTGTTGGAGTGATAATCTTCTGGTTTATGGAACATTACCAACTGGAATTTCAATTGGACATGACGAAACACCTTATATTTATGGTAAAGTAGAAATACCATTTGAAGATACTAAAGTTGATATCTATGTAAAATGTGTTGATGCAATAAAGTTCTACTGTTCAACAGTTAATTTTAAATATGAAGCATAGTAGCAAGTTAAGAAAAAATTAATTTATTGTTTATTTGATCATTTATTAATGATGTTGAGGAAAAGTAAATGGCTTTTCTTTGTCAACTTTTGATATAGCAATTTGGAGTGCTGGACTTATCCATTTACCACATGAACATTGATTCCCAGACCAGGTATAAGTTCCAATTTCATAATGACATTTAGGGCATTCAATTTTACCAGTGTTTTGATCACACAAACCCATCCATACTAATTTGTCTTTTAAAAAGACAGAATTGCAGTCACCACCACCTCCTCTCCTTCTGTACCCAAATGAAACTTCATTGTTATTTGGCTCATGTTGTTGTATTTCATTTTCAGTGAATAATAATGATCTACATTTCTTACAACGGTAATTGATTGTCATTTGAAAGGAGAAAACCTTGAAATAAAAATTGTTAGATAGTTTTTTGTTTTTACTAAAAATAAAAACTGAAAAGACTAGTGTAGAAAATAAAGATGAGAGAGTTGTGTCTTTTCAAATTTATTCATCAAATCTATGACATTGTAATATAATGTTTCTTCATTTTCAATAAATATACTTTCATCATGAAGTAAATATATAATTTGATATTGTTTAAATATGTATCTAGAGAATATATTATTACAAATATTATTTCGATTAAACTTTGTTCTGACAGAAGTTCGTGTGTCTCAAATAAGTTAAACAATTTAAAAAAAAAATAGAACTGTATTATAATTCATAATCAATTAGAATATTGCATATAGCTTTATTCTTATTTTTTAAAGTTATTAATATAAAGATATTCCAATAATTTGTTTAGTTCTATTAACTATTTTATCATATCTATATTTTAATTAGCAAACAGAGAATGATCTATTATAAAGTCAATGTATTCATTTTAGTTAATAAGTTTAAATGGTGAATAATATAAATTAAAGGAATGTACAATTTGTTATGTCTTAGTAGAAAAATATATATGAAATATCTTTATCAAACTAAAATAATTTTAGATACTATATTTTTTTAAAATTTGGAGGTTTAGTAAAGAATAAGGTGTAATATTTCTTTTTGATAATTAACGAAAAGAATTAATATTTCATATTTTCTATTAGTTAGTGTTAAGTTTTTTTATTATTTACATCAATAAAAAAGTTTCATAAGATTAAACTAAGATCAAAAAAAATATGATCCGAGTATAGTATTTTAATTATTCTTAACAAAGAAATGAAATACAAAAGTAAATAATTACAATCATACAATTGACTTCCAAGTACAATACTTTAAATGTATTTGTTGTGGAAATGAATTTAAGTTAATTGGAGATGAAAAAGTTCCAACTAAAGTTAATGAAGAAAGAGCTGGAGATGGTTTTGTTACATAAGAAAATTCTTTTAATAATTTTCGAGCAGTCAAGACAGTGTTAAGTGACATATTAATACGATTTAGATATGATTTTTTATCAATTTCTAATGGATTAAACACGTAATCACGTGTTTTTAATAATATTGATAATAATAACATTAATACTAATCTTAAGAAACATTCAACTGCATCTGTTATTAAAGTATATTCATTTGGAATAAAATGAGTAAGTATAAAATTCACTGTATATACAATAATATAGAAGAAAATAACTCCTAAGTTAAATTTAAGCATCTACAATAATAAATTAATTATATATTCAATTTATATAACAAAAAATTTCAACATAACAAACTAATTTCTTTAATTTGAATGCGTTTATATATTCAATAGAAATTGCAATTAATATATGACTGTTAATAATTCTGTTTGAAGTTGAAACATTAAAAACAGCAACAGGAAGGAAAAGTCCCAAAATTACCATAAGATTTCCAAGAACAAACCACTTAACCCAAAAACATTCTAAAATTCCACATATACAAAAAATAACAAATCCAAGTATTAATAATTTCATTTCATAGAAATGTACTTTAAGATAAATAAGTTTATATCCTTTTCCTATCAACATTAAAACTGCCATAGTTGTTGCGTCAACCAAGACTGTAAAAAAGTGAGAAATTGTTTGGGTAATATCTTTTTCATATCCATTATAATAAGTAATCCAAAACCCACTATTTATTAAAGAAGAACAAAGATAAAAGAAGAATATGATAAAAATGAATAATTGAATACGTGAAAAAGATTTTCTATGAAGAATAGAATTAACAATTAATGCAATGACATTAGAAATAATAAATAGTAATTGTATAAGAACAACGATTGGTCGGTAGAAATCTTCAGATGATAATTCAATATCTTTTTTATTTATTAAGTGTGCTTTGTAATTCATTTTAATATAATTTGGAATATCACAAAATAAAAAGTAAATGTCATATTGAGAATGTTCAGTTACATTAATTGTCATATAAAATTCAAATGGAGATACTAGACACATCAGTTTATTCATTTAAATACATTTACAAACAAAGATTATAAACAAACCATATTCACAGTGTTCTTTTAACGCCCTACATAAAGTATCATCATCATATGTTTCAAGATATTCTTTAGCAGTTTTTGTTTTACATATAGCAACACTAATTGTTGATAATCTATCTGGAGCTGGGGACAAAGAAGATACATTGAGTTCCATCCTTCCTTGTCCATCAAATCCAAAAGTTATAATTTTGACAGATTTCTCTGAAAAGACAGTTGACTTTGAAATATAAAGTCCATTAACACTAGCAAATAAAATAATTGCAATCGCACTTACCTTCATAATTCGTTGTTGACTGAGAGACATTTTTCTTTACCAGTTTGATTGGATCTTTAAGAGAATTTTCTGTTTTCCTCTTTTTTGTTGTCTCTTTTGACAAACAAGATAAGTAGTTATAGTTTTATTGTTAAAATATTATAGTTTTATTATCTTATCGTTAACCAATAAAATTTCTCCTTTTTTAATTAATTTTTATTCCATAAAAAATTTGAATCTCAATCAAAAAATAAAAATACAAAATACTAAGAGTTAACTCAATTTAGAAGGTATTTGATAATAGATATCCAATACAGTCATTCACAACTTGAGCAATAGCTAATTTGTATGAACCAACTCCAATATTATAACTTCCACCAAGAACATCAACAAATATTCCAATTGGTTGGTCTAAAATAATACCACCACAAACAAGTTGGTTTGAAGATGATGAAATAATTTTGAAATTATTTAATTCAAATAATTGTTGAAGATCTTTTAGTTGCATTGAACTTTGAATTTGACTTTGAAGTAAACAATCTCCAAGAAGTTCTTTTTGATTCAAAAATTCAACAGATTGATTTAATGGTTGAATGTATCGTAAAATATTAATTGGTAATGAGAATGATAATTGAATATTTTGTTCTCCAATCGTATATGCTAATCCTACCATAGGAGCTTGTAAAAATAATTGTTTTAATTCAAATCTACATAATACTTGTTGTTGTTTTTTTGGTTCTATACTAACTTGATTTGTTTGTAATAAACAGTTGATTCCTTCTTCACCCTTTAAAGCAATTTGTAAATTAATATTTTGGTTTTGAGTGTTTCCAATATATAAGGCAACATCAACTGTATTTGAACACTTCATTCTCATACCAATTTGAATACAACTATCTTGGAAAAGAACTCCTTCTTTTTGTAAAAGTAATTTTTTATGAATAAATCTTACTTTCTTTCCTAATTCAGCATCGGCATGTGAATGAGTAAAGACACTTCCTTTATACCCACGTTCAGTATATGGTGTATGATCTAATGGTAATTGTTTTGGTTGATTTTCAGTTATTTGTTGTGAAGGTATTGAACCAAAGAGGTCTAATACATTTGTTTGAGAAGATGTTTGAGCAGGAATACTTTCATTTATATGAATTGAATTATTGAGGTTAGTGTGTGACTCAGACACTTGTTGGCTCATGAATTGATCATCATCTTTTTTAGTCTTTTCATTTTCCTGATTATCTTGATTTTCATTAATGGCTCGTTCAGGTAATGGGGCAATAGCAATTTCATATGCATTCTTATTCATAATATTGAAGTATTCAGCAGCCCTTTGTTGAACCTCAACGTCAACAGCTGAAAGATACATATGACAAGCTTTTTGACAAACTGGACGTACTTCATTTAATTCTTTAGCCATTTTAATTAAACAAGTTAATATTAATCTTTTAGATGTAGAGCTTACATATGGTAATTGTTTTGTGATATATGAAGCAACTTTCATTGCTAAACCTCCAAGTAATTGAGGATATTCTCCTAAAATAACACATGACATTCTTAAAAATTCTTCATGCCAACATCCTCCATGGAGAACTTGAACAATTTTTTGAACTGCATATTGAGCTGCATTTCCAAGTGAACTAAGAACTCTGTCCCATAATTCAGGTCTTACAAATTCTCCTCCAAGACATGTAGCTAATAACATAGTATCTACATACCATTGATCTCTAACAGGATCCATCTCAGCAAGAATAGAAATTTTTACAACTAATTCTTCTTTTAATTCTCCTTCATCATTTTCAAGAACATGAAGTAATTGATTTACTACTTTTCTAACACTTTGTGGTGTACATAATGCATATAATACATCAACTGCTCTTCTACGAATAGTAATATCTGGTTCATCAAGACTATTTAAGATATGAACTAAATAGTTTTGACATACGTTTTTATAATTTGCTTGTCCAAGAAGAACAAATGTATCTAATGCTAAGTATCTAATATTAACTTCTTTGTCTTCAACTAAAGTACCTAATAAAGGAAGAAGAATTTCAAAATATTCTTCTTTTTCATGTTTAATAACAATTGACATTACTTCAAAGATAATTGACATTTGAATTGTTTTTTCATTACATGGTTTATCAAATCTTAAAGTATCACTTGTTCCTAATACTTTACGAGCTGAGTCCCAGAAAATTTTTTGTGTAGTTGTTTCTAAATCAATTGTTGAAAGTAATCTAAATAATAAAATTTGAAGCCAAGGAGCAGATGTTTCATGATAATCAATTTCAGGTGTATATTCATGGTTAACTAATCTTTGAAGAATATTGGTTAATTCTGTTCCAAATGGTTTAAGAAGTTCTGGTTGTTTTTTACCAATTTCAATAAGTAATAAAACCATAGCATTAATAATTCCTAAATCCATTTCAGTAGAAAGTAATTTTTCTAATGCTTTCATAAAATCTGGATTAATATTTAATACATTTGGTTGAAATTTGTATAATTGTCTTAATGTAATAAGAGCTCTCTTTTTAACATTTGTTTCACAGAATCCTGTACATAATTTAAGAACAGATGGTGCTAATGTATCTGCCATTTCCATATTAGCTAAAGTAGAAATAACAGTTAAAGCATCACAAAGAACAGGTTCTAAATTATTTTCTAAGTCTTGTTGTAATGTATTAATAATCATTCTTGATGATTCTGGAACATTTGAAAATAATAAAACAAATGCTAAATATCCAACATGTTTATCAAAATATTTACTACTTCCTAATAATTGAATAACCTCAACAAATCCAGTATCAACCTCATATCCAAGTACTTCAATATATGCCATTTTTAATACACACTTTCTTCTGTCATATGAACTGATTTTACCTTCTTTAAATTCTTTACGAATCTTTGCTAATTCACAATTGACTAACTCTTTTTCTTTTTCAAGACTTGTACATTTATGTATACTCTCTGTAAAATTTTGAAGTCCTCTAATATAAGTTTTGGCTCCTTCCATCTCGTATTATTTGATAATTGAGTTCTTTATGGAAACGTGTTAATTCTTTTATTCATTCTTTTTCTTTCTCTTCTATTCTTCTTTTTTTTTTTTTGAACTTTCTTTTTTCTTGGACTTTTCCTAATTGGTTTTTTTTTGCTTTTCTTTTCATTTTTTTTCTATTTTTTCTTAATACTTCTGGCTCTTTTATAATTCATTTCATCATATTTTGATGTTTTTTAATTAATGATCTAATTTTTATTTTTAAGATTATAGTTTTTTTTAATTTCTAAAAAACGAAAAATATCTACTCCTGAGGTAATTCAGTACAACTAATAATTGTAAAGAAGTAAACAAAGAATTATATCTTTTTCGTTATTTTAATATTTATTATATCTATTATTAATTGATTATAAACATTATTTTAGAAATAGATTAATTAAAACGAAATGGTGATTGTCAATTCAAGGAATGTAATTTTTAAGTTTTGGTTTTACTTTAATTTTTTTTAAACCAAAAAAATACTGAATAAGAAATATTTAATAATACTAAACGCATACTTAATTTATTTCATTGAAACAAAAGAAAGTAATAAAATAAGATTTACAAAATTATATAACAAAAAATGAAGAAATAAAGGTTATTTGTTAAAATTATTTTTGAAAGAATATTATATTAAAGAAAAATTTAAAATATGGTTTTATATTAAATTGGTCATATAAAACATAAAATGAAAAAGAACATCTAAAAAGGTCTTAAAAAAAATAAATAATCATGGGAAAAAAGAGATATTATTGTGAATATTGTCAAAAACATCTTGTTTATGGAGGAACTAGAAGCAGAAAAGAGCATATTCTTGGAAAAAAACACAAAGATAAGATGGTTGAATATTTTAAACAATTTGAGGCAAATATTTTGCAACGTATGATTGATATGGTCGTTCTTGACTATCAAACAAATGGACCAAATACAACAACCCAAATACCACAATATACACCATATCTTTCAACTTGGGAAAAACAAAGTAAATTACAATACCAACAGATTGCAGAATCAATGAATTGATTTATTTGTTATAATTATTTATAAAAAAGAACAAAGAAGTCTTGACAAAGAAATCATTTCATCATAAAGAAAATAAGAATAATTTGGAACACTCCAACACATATTGAATAAATACGTTTTTTATTTTCTTCTGTTTGAATTGATGCTAAAGAACCAAATAATGTTTTATAAAGGAAAAAGGCATATGAAGTTCCAAAAAATAATAATGCTATATATGTTAAATAAGGAATTTGTAATGAACCAACAAATGTACACATTAATACACTATTTAAAATAAGTTTTGTTTTATTCTCTACTTAAATAAATTCATTTAACAAACGGTACAAAAACATATGAAACATATGATAAATAAATTCTAAAGTCAGAAGAATAATTAAATAACATATATTCAAGGAATTTTAATATCATTACTTCAAGTGAAATAAGAATTAAACATAATGTTGTTGTCATACTTAATGTTTCTGGTGTAAATGTTCCTTTAGACCCATAATAAAATCCAATAGCAAGAACATAACTAATAAATCCCATTAAAGGAATATATAAATCTGGTGCATAAATATCTTCTTGTGGGACATTATATAATTTAGACTGATCTTCACCAATTACATATTTTCTTTCCCAGCTACCTAAGAATGGATATGGCATGATAATCATTAATATTTTTTTCAATACAAATGAGGTATTAACATTAAAATAATATCTCCATGCATCAAATGAAAAAATTCCACCTAACTGTGATTTAAGTAATTGGTCTCCTTGATTTAAATAATTTTGTGCTACAGAAAGACCAGCACTAGCAAGTGGGTTTGCTGCAATATTATTAAAGAATTGATCTGCTTGAGACTCTTGTTGATTTTGTGTTGGAGGGATAATTGGTTGTGGACTGATTGGTTGTGGAGATGACATTTTACAATTTAATAGTTTTTCTTTTTATTATTATTTTAAAAATTTATTTTTCTTTTTTTTTGTTAATAAAAAAGTTATAAATTACAAAAAAATACTCTTTTTTTCTTGTATGTCAATACCATTATTTTGATAAACATATATTATTATCATCATTATCATTATCACAACATTCGTTTGACTATTTTCTTTATTACTTATCTTTACCTCTTTTTATTTTCTAATCTATTTAGTACTAAAAGTTTATTTTTAATATTCATCATTCTTTAATTTCTTTTTTTTTATTTCTTTTTTATCTTTTGAAATTATTTTGTTCATCTTACAAAATGAAATTATCACGAATATCTTCAATTTATTAGTTAAGAAATACTGTTATTAAACCATACAAAGAAAATAATACTTATTTATTATTCACTGTCTATACTTCTTGATGACTTAATGAGATTTTTGTCACAACAAAATATATCACTGATTATATGTCTGTTAGTTTATTTTACATTATGAACAAAGTCTCTTCATTTAATACTTGTATATTATGTTTATCACAAGAGATATTTCTGTTTATCATATTTAATTTCCAATAAAATATTAAACCATCAAATAATTGATATTTTAACAATAAACATTTTGAAAAATAGACAACAACTATAATAAAATAAAACACACTCATTAAACCGCAACGTTTTTAAGGAAAAACATTATTATTATCTCTAAATAAAGTAAATGGTGTAGAATAACTAAACAAATCAAAAAAAAATAATACATAGATAAAACAATAATAAAAATATAAGTAATTAAATCTTATTAAAAACTTAGTGATTTTTTTTTAATAACTGAAAGAGTTTTAAAGAATTTTTGAGGTATTTAAATTCTTTTATTAAAATAACATATTAGTTATTTATATTATATCGTTTTATAAAACAATATATTATAATTATTTTCTGAGTTACAAAAACCAAAAAAATAATAAAAAATTAGCAAAATCTATAAAGTCAAAAGATTCAACAAACGAAAAATGAGTTCATCTAAATTATCATTAACTTCATTATTTACACCACCATTTACGGTATTAGATACTATCATTGAATTTGCACTTAAAAATAAAGATACTAAAATTGCAGATTATGTTTATAAAACATTAACCATTGCCAATAGATTAGAATTATATATTCATAGATGTATTAGTGAAGAAATACAAGGAACTCGTTTGTTTTAGATTAAACCTTAGAAAAAGAAAGTGCTATAAATTCATTAATGTAGAGAGTGAACAAACAGCATTTCGATTAAATTCTAAAACAACACGATTATTAAATATTATTTATTTAAATCAAGGTATTGGATTTCTATTTCATTGTTTATCACCTCTTTTTGATGAAATAGAAAAAAAGAAAATCAAAATAAAACCTGTTTGCTAATTACCTTATCTCAGTCTACTAGTTGAATTAACATTCACTTTTTAGCTTAGAACATGTAAAACTGGTGACCAAGATTTAATAATTTGTGCTCAATTAGTAAATATGACATTTCAAAGAACTATTTCAAATATTGATAATTGTCCTCCAATAGTAAGAAGAGTTTTAAGAAAAGTATATGATGAATTAAATAATAAATTTCCTCAAAGTAACACATCTTGGATATGTCTTGGTGGATTTATTTTCCTAAGATATATTTGTCCAGCAATTATACGTCCATTAGAATGGGGATTAGTATATGACATTCCTACAGATATGCTTGAAACATATACACAAATATCTGTTGTTTTACAAAAAGTAGCAAATGTAAAACATTCTGATGTTGATGATCCATTAGGAAGATTAACAAATGTATTGGTTGAATCAAGAAAATTAGACTATTTCAAATTTGTGACTGAATTAGCTGTTTGTTTTTATTTTAATATTTAAGAATTCATATACATATCTAATTATTAATTTATAGAATGTACCATATGAAACATTAATTGAAGAATATCCAACAACAACACAACAATTTAATTATTACCTTGGAAAATTACAAGACTATTTCCTTCAACATAAACAAGAGATTATTTCAACACTTAAACCTTCTCAAATAAATAAATTTTCAGTATTTGAACAAATGAATTTTAATGAACCTGATTCTCAAGTTATTCTCCCATCTATTGTATTAAATAATTTGACTCAATTCCCTCAATCAATTAAATCTAAATATATTTTAATGGAATTAAAAAATAAAATTGAAAAAGGACTAACAATTACTTTATGGGATGTACATTATCTTCAAAAATCAATGCAATTAGAACAAGCAATTTATGAAGAGTCTACAAAAGACCTTGTAAATGCACGTTATAATAGTTATTTTCCAGGAATAGTTACATCATCAGTAGAATTAATATATCGAGAAGATTATTCTCAATGAACATGAATCTGTTAGATATTTTTAAATTGAAAACTTTTTATGAAAAAAATTAAAAAAAAGGGTTTTTTTATTTAATAAAAGTTTAAATAAACAGTATGAGTGAAGAACAGCATGATTATGAATTAATAGAAAAAATGAAAGCATTAAGAGAAAATGTTGATGAATTAGCAAATAAAATAAACGTATTAAATATGAAGTTTGAGTGTTTATAATAAATGAAAAAAGGAATAAAATTTATTTGTTTAGACTCCAACAAAACCCATTAAAAACACAGAAAGGTATTTCCTTTTTAGATGTAAAATATTCATTATTATTTGAATATAATATGTACTTAGCTTATTATTGTTGGATTAAATCATCAGGATCAAATGTTGAACGTCATAAAGCTATTGAACGATTATTTTATCTTCGTATTTTAATGGAACGTTGTAAACCAATAGAAAAGAAATTAAAATATCAAATAGATAAACTTTTAGCAGAAACAATTGCTGATGAATCGTTAAATGCTAAACCAAATGTAGATGATCTTGTTGTTGAAAAGAATGAAGATGGAATCTATAAACCTACTACTATTGCAGGTAAAGCAATGGAAGTTGAAGTAAATGATGTACCTGATGCTAAAACTTTTGCTCGTCATGAACTAGAAGAAAATGTAGATGATGATATTGATGCTCCCGAAGAAATTGGATTTGATGGTCAAGTTGTTGTTGATAAAGGACAAATGGAAAGAGAAAAAGAGATTAGAAAATATGAAGAACAAATGCATGTACGTTTAAATAAAAAACAAAAATTAACAAAAGTTCGTGATGAATTCCAAGAACTTGAAGATTTTGTTAGTAATTTAAAAGATGATTTAGTTAAAGAGTACAGAGGAAATAAACTTAAAGGAGATATTGTTGATGACAATGACTCTATTAATTCTGATGAAATTGAAAGTCAAGGAAGTGATGATAATAGTGATCAAAGTGAAGTTGATGATGAAGAAATTGATAGTGATGAAATTTGATTGAATTGATTTTTATTAAAAAAAATTTATTAAATTTTTTTTTATTTTTTCATAAAATATTTTTAATATAATTAAAATTTATAACTTTGATGTATTTCAAATTATTTTATTTGTGACAATTCTTAATTTGTAGTTTTAACACGAAAATGAATTACGCACTAAAACGAATAAAAACCTAAAAATTCATTTTTTGTGTAACTGTGTTTTGTAGTTTTTAACAATTAACAAATTTTTTTTTAATTTATAACTAACTAATTGGAAATAATCCTATTGTTCAGAAAAAAAAATTTCTTAATTTCACTTCAATAATATTACTAATTAGTTGTGTTATGAGTAATATCCTTTTGGAGTATTCAAAGCTGTTTTAAGACTTTTTGATAATATACAATAATCGCTATTGAAACAAAAGAAAATTTTATTAAAAACAAACTCAAGGTAAATACTATTTAATAATTAAATAATGAAACGATAAATTATAATAATGAGTAGATTAATTTTCTTGGAATTTAAAAAGAAACATTTTAAAAAACTTTAATTTTTTTAACTTTTCAAAACCAAATAACATGAGAAATAACTTTAAAAATTTTTTTTTTAAAATATCTAATTTCAACATCACATTTACTTGTAATTCACTATTTAAAAAAAAATGAAACAAACAAATTAAAATAATTAGTTATTTGAATGAAATTCATCCAACTTTCAAAATGTATAATAACTAGCAGAGTAAAGTAAAATTAAGTTTTGGTTTGATGATTCATAATTAATGCAAACTTCACGTTTACTATAATACGGGATGAAAAAGAAACAAAAATAGAAATACTAATTGTTATGTTTTGTTTGAGAAATTTTTGTAAAAAAAAATAAGGATTTCAAATACAAGCAAAAAATACCAGATTGAAATATACAGAAATTAAAAAAAATGACATGAGTTAAATAAATAAAAAAATTAGATAATTCTAGAAAAATACTACAAAGTAAATATACCCCTTATTTTAGAAGAAGTTATGGAAGGTAATTTTTAGATGAATGAATATGAATAAAAGATTTAAAAAAATAAAGTTGTATGTAAAAATAAATACAAATTCGATCCTTCTAGAAGGGGTAAAAACATATTTCATTGTCTCTTTCAATGAGAGGATTTATTATAATTAAACTAAATTTTTTAATTCATTAAACTATTTAAAGAGTTCAATTGAATCTTTAAATTAAAACATTTAATCTTTATGGCTGATATTTGCTTAGTCATTCTTGCTCTTTGTTTCCCATCAATTTCACTTTGCTGCAAATACGGAGAATGCAATCAAACAGTATGTATTTGTGTTATTCTTGAATGTTTCCTTTGTTTCTGGGGAGGAGTTATTTTTGCTTTAATCAAACAACTTGAAGATTAAAATTGTTTTATTCTGAACTTATTGGTTAAAGATTAATTTTAATTTACTGAAATTATATAAAAACAAATTTCATTTTATTTTTTTTTATAAAAATTAAAATTTTTTATTTGAATCAACTAAAAAAGAGTAATGGGAAATAAAGCTAGCAAAAAAATCAAGTGTGTTTTTATTGTTCACTTATTTAATTAATACTCATTACTTAGAATTGTTACTATTAATGCTGCAGAATCAAAACATAAAACAATTTCAGAAATTGTTCGATTTGCACCACCTTTGAGTATTATTATTATAAAACCTGGAACTTATGAAGAAACAGAACCTATTGTCATAGATAAAGCAATTCAAATTATTGGGATTAATGAAGGTAAAGCGAAACCGATTATTACTTCTCCTCGTGGTTGTATTGAAATTGATTGTCCTGATAAAGTTATAATTAAAGGACTTGACCTTCGAAACACTGAATCAAAAGTAGTTATTGATGCAAAACAGGGCGAAGCTTGTATTGATTCTTGTGATATTTCTACAGCTGAGGATGGTGTATCTGTTACTCATACTGCTAAAGTTATGTTAACTAATTGTCGTATTTGTGGATGTTCTAAAGCAGGTCTTCATTGTGGAGGAAAGGAAATTAGATGTATTACACGAAATGTACAAATTTATGAATGTACAACTGGAGTTGCAATATTTAATGAAGCGAATCCATTAGTATCATCATGTAACATTACACAATGTGGAATTGGATTATTTGTAAGTGAAAAAGGAAGAGGATGTATTACTGATACTTTAATTTCGGGTAACAAAAAACCAGGAGTATTAACTCATTCTGGTGGTAATCCAGTATTAAATAATACTAAAATTGTTGATGGTTCATCAAATGGTGTGTTTGTTCGTTCAAAAGGAAAAGGTGTTTTTGTAGGATGTGAAATTTCAAAAAATAATTTACCTGGCATTGCGTCTTGTGAAGGAGGAGAGCCATTAGTCGTTTCATCAGCTATTTGTGAAGGACGAAATGCTGGTGTTTTTGTTTATGATAATGGAAAAGGTATTTTTGCACAATGCCAAATTCGAGACAATACAATGCCTGGTATTGAAGTGAGAGCTTCTGGTAATCCAATTGTTGTTGGATGTGAAGTTTCACGAGGACAATCAAATGGTATTTATATTCATAATAAAGGTACAGGTTTATTTGCTCAAACTAAAGTTAATGAAAATACCTTACCAGGTGTTGCTGTAAGAACTTCTGGAGATCCTATTTTATGTGATTGTGAACTTGTTGCTGGTAAAGATAATGCATTATTTGTAAGTGATAAAGGAAAAGGTGTTGTTTTAAATACTCTTATTGAAGGATGTTCAGCACAACCAATGGTTATTCAAGATGGTGAGCCATTAATGGTTGGGTGTTCTGTAGTTGATGGAAAGAAAAATAATGTTCAAGCATGGATTAATTCTATTCCTGAACATCTTGGTTTATTAGAAGAAGATATGCCTGATTTTGATGCTGTCTAATTTTAATTTTTTTATAAATATTATTATTTTAATTAGGAAGTTAAAGAAAAAAAAAAGATAATTTAAAATACAACAAAAATGAATAGTGTAAAATTTTATTAAACTAATAAATTAATTAAAAAGGAGAACTATAAAATCAAAAAGAAAAAATATGTCAATTACTATTTATACTTCATCAACTGGAGGAAATTTAGTTAGTAAAAACTTTAATTCTATGCAAACTATGGTTAAGATTCTTACTAAACAAGAACCTAAAGTTGTTTTTATTGATATTGATTTAGATTCAAAAAAGTTTGCAGAAGAAAAAAGTGGAAGAAAAGGGCAATGGCCATTATTATTTAATGGAGAAAAATTTATAGGAAATTATGAAGATATTGAATATTTAAATGAAGATGGAGAATTAGCTCCATTATTAAAATAATATAATTTTTTTTTCTTTTCAAATTTAAAGAGAAAATCAAAAGAATATTAATAAAACGTAATAAATTAATACATACAAAGTTTTTATTCTCTTTTTATATTTTCTTTATAAAGAAAGATTAACTAAAAAAAGCGAATTATTATAACTTTAAGATTTTCCAGAAAGAGTATATCTAGGTTTTGAACTTATAATTTTTTGATTTGATAAAACAGTTTCAGATGCTCTTCCTTTAACTTGTTTATGTTCTTCTCTTAATTCTCTTTGTTCACATAATTGTTCAAATAATTTCATTTTTTCTTTAACAGAAGTAAAATTTTGATTTAGTTGTACTGTTTTAGAGTCTGAATGATTAATTTCACTTCTAATTTGTTTTCTTAATTTAATTATTTCATATTCTAAAACTTTTTTTTCATTTTGAGTTTTTTTTAATAATTTTTTAATTTCATTCATATCATTATTTTCTTCTTTATATTCTAAAATTTTTTTATTTGTTTCTTCTTCTTTTGTTATTAAAGCAAATTTTGTTTCTTCAAGTTCTTTTTTAATTTTATCTATATTATCAAGTTTTTCTTTCATTTCAATAACCTCTTGTTCTTTTTCATCAACTTCTTTTTCTGATTTTCTCAACATCATATCTAATTCTTCATTTTCTTTATCATATTTTTCAATTTCTATTTTAAGTAAATTTATTGTTTGTTTTAATGATTTAATTTCTGTTTTATATGTTTCTTCTCCTTTTATTTCATTTAATTCATTTTTTAATTTTTTTATTTCTTCATCTTTTTCCATAATAATATTTTCTTGTGATTTATCTTTTGAATGTGTTGTTCTTTTAATTTCTTTTATAGTTATAGTTAAATCATCAATTTGTTGTTGAAGTTCTTTTGTTTTATTTGCTGAATTTTCAATGATATATTGTAATTCTTCAATTCGTTTATTATTTAATTGAATAGTATTTTGTAATTCTTTGACTGTACTTTTTAATACTTCTTTTTCTTCATCATATTCTAATTGTTCTTCTTCTTTAATTTTAAAGACTTTTTTTAATGTGACAATTTGAGTTTGTGTTAATCCAATTTTTGTTGCATTTTGAAGTAAAAATTGACCTGAACTTTCATTTGACTCTTTTAAAACTTTCATTAACATTTCAAATTCATTAAAAAATAATCTTCCTGCCCACCAAGTAATTTTATCAATTAACGAATCATTTAATACTTGAAAGAGTGCTTTTGTTTTTGTTAAATAATCATCTGACAATCCATACTTATCTTTTATCATTTCAATTACTTCTGGTTCTGCATTTTTTTTATAACAATAAAATTCTCCTGCATATTTTGATGTTACACCAATAGAACGAAGAATAATACTTGTTAAAATGTTATTATTTCCTGATTCTTTTTTCATTATATTAATTATTAGTTCATTGGTGTTGTTCTTTTAATTTTTGATGAATCAAATCCCAAAAAAGGGATATAAAATAAAAAGAAAATGAAGAGAAAAAAAGGGGGGTTGAAAATAAAAAGTTTTTAATTATTAGCTTTTTATTTATTAAAACTATTTTTTTTTTTTGATATAATTTTTTGGAAGAAAAAGATTATTGAATTATGATACTAAAGAATGGATGTTGTAGATATTGTTTCCATGTTAATCTTGAGTCTTGAGTTACAAATAACTTTCTTAATAAATCTATTAATATTACAAATTGTGGTTGACTGCCACAAACAAATTCATTTGAATGTTCAATAATTTCATTGAGTTTTAATTGATAAAAAGAATAATAATTTTCAATAGGAATATTAGAAGTTTTTTGAATATTTAATACAGTTCCAGTAATCATTTCATATAATATGACACCAATACTAAACAAATCACATTTTTCATTATAAATTGTTCCATGTGAGATTTCTGGTTGGTTAGTATAACTTGAACCAACAAATATTGTATCAAAATTATTATCTCCAATCAACCTACTGGAACCAAAATCACATAATTTTAATGTTAGTCCATTAGGTTTTGATGAGTCTTGAAAAACAAGAATATTTTGTGTTTTAATATCTCTATGAATTATTTGTCGTGTAAATATTAAATATTTCATTGCATTATTAATATCAAACATAAATTGTTGAATATATTGTAATGAAATTCCATTTGGATTCATTGAAATAAAATTAAATAAAGAACCATACGCTGAACATTCCATAATTATATAATAAAATGTATTTGAATCTATTGCATCTTGTGAAAAAAAATTAAATTTTACTGATATAGGAGATTTAAAAAATTTATATAATTTAACTACATTTTCATGACTACAAATATTCATTGTACGAACTTCTTTTATTGCACTTTCATAATCACTCATTTCTTTTATTGCAAAAAAATTACCTTTACATGACGCTGAAAATACACATCCAAATGATCCTTTACCAAGAATTTTACATGATTCACGATCAAAAATATCAAAAATATTACTAATATATTCTGGTTCAATATGTTTATATTTCCAACATTCATTGAAATATGGATCTTTCATCATAGCTTCTTTAATTTTTGAAAAAGAAATTAATCTTCTTTTAAAAAGCTTTTCAAGAAACTTTATTGGTGGTTGAATTAAACAACCATTTAATTGTGGAGTTAATGTATTTGTACTAACAATAAATTGTGAATCTTGTATTACTGGATTTTGTTGAAAGAGAAGTTTATTTAATAAAACACCAAAAGAATTTATCTCAACTTTAGTAGTAATGTCCCAACTTGAAATGTTCTTTACTAAAAATTCATTTGGAACAAATGGTTTAATCCCATCTAATTCTTTTACTGAATTAATGAAATGAGGTAATAAAAATCCTAATGATGATACTTTCATTTGAGGAATAGGTGATGATGGGTCACTTTGAAGTGCAAATGACATTGAACTGAATAAAAAAGGTTGCTCACTTTTAAGTGATTGACATAATAATTGTTTCAATGAAATAATTATTTCTATTAATGTTTGTATGTCACTAGAAAAATATTGAATTGCTTCAATTGAAATTGCAGAATTAAAATAGTCATTAACAAGTCTATCTATTTCACAAACAATTGAAATAATTTCATCTCCCTTTATCAATAAGTCTTTTATTAAAAATAATTGAAAAAAAACCAAACGTTCTCATCAAAACCAATTTCCCATTCTTGTATTTTCTCAAACAAAGGATTATCAATTGTTGATAATATTTGCAATAATAATTTAGTTATTTCATAATCTGAGTCAGTATCAAAAAGCTTCTTCGGAAGGACTAAACAATAAATATTATGTTATTAAATTAATAAAAATAAAACAAACAGTATTGGGTATATCTATCTTCAGTAGAAATTATTAAATTTCTACCAACAGAAGAAATACTCTTCATATTCCTTATAACAAATAAAGAATTATATTTAAGTTCTTTTGATAAATAAAGACTTTTGTTTTTTATCAAAAAAAAAAACTAAAAACAAATATTAGAAAAAATGAAAATTTAATTCATTTCATTTTTTACATTCAAATGACAACTAAAACACGCCATATTCTTATATTGTGTGATCTTCAATGTAATTCTCCAGTTATTGAAAAAGTTGGTTGTAATGGAAATAAGTATATTTATCCTCCTATTAAAGTTGGAACTCCTACATATAAAAATGAATATAAAACAATTCATTATTATACTCCTGAACATTTACTTCAATTAAAACAAAACTTTCATAGTGTTTCTGCTGTTACAGATGTATTTGATAAACTTATTTTAAAACGATCAAATTCATCAACACCAATGAAAATAGTTACTGCTATTTCTGAAAATATTGACTCAACTTCATTCATTCGTTCTTCATTAAATAAGTTATGTCAATCAAATATGTCTCAAATTCTTAAAGAATTGAAAACACAAGTAAGGACAATTAATGATGCCAAAATTGTTCTTGATATTCTTTTTAAAAAAGCAGTTAACGAAAAAAAATTTACTAGTCTCTATGTAGATTTTTATAAACAACTTCAAACAATATTATTATCAACACGTGAAGAAGTTGGAAAGGAAATGCCTAAAATTTTACTTGATAACGCTCAACATTTATTTATTAGTATTCCAGAAAAAACTGAAGAAGATCAAAAAACTGAAGAAGACTTAGATATTATGAAATTTGAATTCTTAGGAAATTGTCGTTTAATTTCTGAATTATATAAATCTGGTTTAGTTAAATCAGCACTACCCGTATTATGTATGAACCAACTAGTTAATGGTGGATTAATTGCATTAGAAGCCCTTGCCCAATTAATGAGTGAAATTGGAAATATTAATCAAAAAGAAGTTAAACCAATTAAAGATAAAATTGTACAAAGGGTAAAAGAGGAGTCTTTACCAAAACGTTATTGTATTATTCTAGAAAATGGATTAAAAGCACTTGGATTTAATGAAAAATTAATGTAAGAAAACTCATAATTTTCTGATAAATTTATATTTTATTATAAATAAATTAAATTAATATCATTTTTATAATTCTTTCTATAAAGTTAGAATATATATTATTAAATATAATTTCTCTGTTATTTTGAAAAGAAATATAATAAAAAGGGTTTTATGAGAATTAATTATTAGTAAACACCAAGGAATTCAGATGTCTGGAGGAGATGTTGAAACTTTTGAAAATGCACAAGCTGTTGTTGAAGAGCTTCCACAAGAATTAAAAGATATTAAAGCTATTTTATATCAAGCCCGTGCACAAAATGCTTTAACTAAAGGTATTAGACAATGCCTTAAGGTTATAGAAGCTAAAAAGGCACTCTATTGTTTTATTGCTGAAGATTGTGATAATGATAAGTATACAGGCTTATTGAAAGCAATCTGCAAAGAACAAGGAGTTAAGATCGTTATGGTCCCTCAAAAAATCCAACTTGGCGAATGGACTAATCAATGCAAAATAAGAGATGGAGCTGCTGTTAGAATTGCTAAATGTTCTTGTGCTACAGTTGGATGCAACATTAAGTTTACTGATGAAGTAAAGAGATTGAATGCTAAAACTAACTAAACCAGTAGTTTTTAAATCCCATATTTTTGTTATTTGTTTTTAAGTTTTATTTAAAAAGTATATTATTTTATTATTGAAGTATGTAATAATAAAACTTTTAATTTATTTGTATCTCTCATTTATTATAAATGGCAAAAGAAATTAAATTTTGTGATTTTGGTTTATTTCCTTGTAGGTGTCAAACAACTGCATGTCTTGAGTCAAACTGTTCTTGTTTTCAGGGAGGAAATTTTTGTAGTCCATTATGTACATGTAATTGTTGTAAAAACAGAAAAGAAAATGAACAAGAAGTATTGGCTAAAGCCAGAAAGTTGCTAGGTTTAGAAGAACCTCATTCAATTAAAAATGAGAATTTAACAATAGAAAAGGTCAAAAAGCCATTACCAATTAACAACGAAGTAACAAGAAAAAAAATTGTCACAACCCAACCAGAAGTTAATAAAAAAGAAAAACAAATGTTAATTAAAAAGATTAAACAAAACTTGAAGAATCAACCACTAAACGATTTGTTTAATATATTAATTAAAGACTTGACAAAAATAGAGGTAAATAGAACAGATTTAATGAGTGATGAAGAATATAATGATTTACTTAGAAAAGAACAAGATACTGAAATTATAAATCGTTCATTAAAATATATTAAAGATTTATTTGATTGAATTCTATTAATATCTCATGTTTTTCCTTTATATCTAAAAATTATCATTTATCTGTTTAAGAAATGACTAATATCTCAAAATCAAATCTTATAATTAAAAATAGAAAATTCACAGCTGAGGCTTTATGGTCAATGGGACGAATTAATGGATATGACCTTTTTGATAACACATTGCTATATACTGTTTCTTATTATGACATACCTAAAAATGGAAGTTCAAGTCATATCATTATTAAAACATTAAATTCAAAAGAGTATATAGACCTTACTTCAAAGATGAGAGACAGTAATGACCAACTAACTAAAAGTTGTGCACAGTCTCAAACTAATGCGATTTTTGATAAAAATGGAAGAGGAATCTTATTTAATTCAAATGGAAAGTTGTTTGAATATTATTTTGATTCGGAACAAGTCGAACAACTCTCAACAGGTTCTTTAGATATTAGAGAATTTAAAATATCTCCAGACTATTCTAAATGTTTATTTATTTCATCTGTTGAACATAGCTACAAAAATGAAGACTATAACGATTTACCTTTGACTAGTGGAATGATATTTGAAGACTTAAACTATCGTCATTGGGATGAGTTTAATACATCTTTACCTCATCCATTTGTCTCAAAATTAAATAATATGAAATTTGAAGATCATCCATTTGATATTCTTGAAAATGAACCATATGAATCACCATTAAAACCATTTGGTGGAATAGAACAATTATGTTGGTCAAAAGACTCGAAGAAAATAGCATATACATGTAAGAAGAAAGTAGGAAAAGAATATGCTACATCAACAGACTCAGATATTTATGTCTATGATACTGAAACAAAGACAACTATTAATCTTTGTAAAGACTTTGAGCCAAAGAATTATGGGTTTGACTCAAACCCAATGTACTCACCTAGTGGAAAAAAAATTGCATGGGTTAGCATGGAACGTGATGGATATGAAAGTGATCGTAGTAGATTAATTATATTTGACCTAGACACTAAGAAAAAAAGTTTTGTATCAGAATGGTTTGAAAGTAACGTTGAAAGTTTTGATTGGATTAATGACTGTCAGATGGTATTTACTGGTGTGTGGCATGGATTAACACATATATATATTATTGAAATAAATAACGATAATGAATTAGTTAATCATGAGCAAATTACAACAGGGCAATATGACTATAAGTCTGTTAAATGGTTTGGAAATAAGTTAATTGTTAAAAGACAATCAATGATAGAGGCTGATGAGTTATACGAACTTGATTTAAAAACTAAAGAAATCAAACAAATAAGCTTCGAAAATGATTTTATCTATACCCAAATAGATAAAGCCTCTGTGCAACCAAAGTGGATGAAAACAGTTGACAATAAAGACATGTTAGTTTGGGTTATTTATCCACCTCATTTTGATTCAACAAAAAAATATCCAACGTTGCTGTATTGTCAAGGTGGTCCTCAAAGTGCTGTTAGTCAATTTTGGTCTTACAGATGGAATTTCTTATTAATGGCATCAGAAGGGTACATTATTATTGCACCGAATAGAAGAGGATTACCAGGTTTTGGAATGGAATGGTTAGAAGAAATTTCATTGGATTATGGAGGTCTTTGTATGAAGGATTTGTTAACTTCTGTTGACTTAATGAAAAAAGAGTCATACGTTGATTCTGACAGACTTGGATGTGTTGGAGCAAGTTTTGGAGGATATTCAGTCTATTGGCTTGCTGGACATCATCAAAAACGATTCAAAGTGT